ACAAATTTTTATCACTGTCAATATGTTCGTACCATTTATAATGACAATAGTGTTGCACAGTATCAGCTGCTAAGAATTTTTTACAACCTACATTTAGTGCTAGGTTCAACGGTATTAAATTGAAATACACAACACTTGGTGATTCGAATATATGAATAGCAAGATTTTTGTCTGTCCTGTAGCATTCATCGATGATCCGGCCAGCATGTTGATCAAATCTTCTAGAAATACAATCATAGGCAGAAGTTTACAGGGGCAACCTTATCAGTTGTAAACAAATTCGTAGGCACAATCAATCGAAAGCAACCTGTCATTTTTTCAATAACTTTCATCTGTACACATAACAGAGCAACCCCATCGGTTGGTGGGATCAAAACGGTGAAAACTGTGATTTCTGCTCATTACGCTTTTCACCATCATCCTGAAAAACCTTTCTTCAATCACCGAGTTATCAGGTTTTTCTATAAACTTAACATATACAGAACACTAATCTGAATTTATCCAAAAATTTTGAAGCATTATCAGACTCGTAGAAGACAGAGCTCACCTCTCCTCGTTTCAGAAAACGCTTTTTTTTCTTGGAAATAAGCTATGCTGTTTACATGTACATGACACGTCCGTTGCGTACGTGCAAGTCGTCAGATGTCCAAGCAAAAAAAATATCTTCATCTTAAACAATTTAAAAAGTTCGGATCGGTATAAAATATAGTGGCGGCGCCACAGGTGGGCTGGGGTGGGCTCAGCCCACCCAGAAAATTTTTTCCTGGACTAAATTACAAAATTCAGTGAGGCCTAGCCCACCCTGGTCAAAATTCAGGGGGCCTGAGCCCACCTAGTCTAAGTTCCAGGCGCCGCTGCTAATAAAATACTCAATAATCTGTTGAACCAAGAGCCAAAGAAACATTTTGGACCGTCGCGACATCTTTGGAAACCCAAGTTTTCGACTGACACTTGTTTTTGCCTCTCATATTGCTGAGAATTTTATCATATATGTGCTTTAGTACTGCACAGAATGACCACCACTCTGCTTATTCGCTTTCATATGCACATTCTCTCTTTTCATTCATATCACATTGTTTATTTCTCAGTTCATCGTATTCTTTCTCTTTCTCATTGTAAGTTAAGTATGTTCAATCACTCTTTATTTCGTTGCTAAATCTCTCATATTCTATTGTTCACTTTACCGTCAGTCGATTATGTTACCTTCAAAGAATAGCAGCAGCCTCAGAGTTGACGGAAGCTTGGTTGGAGATCATTGCAACCAACATTAAGTCTACAAGATTTCAACTCGCTGACATCAAAAGTAAGAGTGATGAGTGGACTTTTGAATAACTTCGCCGTGGTCAGTTAGAAAATGTTGAGACAAAGCCTGATCGACCCTCACAAATTTAGCGACTTATTCGCTCTTAGCTGTATCCTCCATAAAATTCCTCCTTTTCATGTTGGACACATTAACGTGAAACCTTACACAATAGTCTCTTTTTTTAATTCGGCGAAACGTGCAGTGTTCACTCACTCTCTGACTCTCGGGTAGCTAATGCCACAATCTTTCCACCTTCTGACTAATGGAAGTAGCTAACACGCTTCGAGAGCGCCTCTTATGATTCACCGTGGTTAAAAATTAGTCAATCTGGGATGACTTAATGAATGACAAAGCAATATGATGGAACACCTAAATAGGAAATAAGAGTTCCTCGGTAATTCTTCTTTGGATCTATCAGAAACAGGTCTTTCATTAAAAGACAGAACGAGCTCACACTGCTTCTCGACCGATTTCCAACAGTCGTTTCTACTAAAACAGGAAGGACTAATGTCTTGAAACATCATATTAAAACTAAGACCGACACTTTTACACGCTGAGCGAAAACAGCCTTTATCACACATCGAGGTTTGTTTGAATTTGATATTATGCCATACGGGATCACAAATGATCGAGCTACGTTCCGTTCCGTCGTCTTATGGATATAGTGCTTAAATGGCAATGTCGTCTCGTGTACACTTATTTCAATAAAGCATCTTCAATCATTTCTTGGACTTGCAGGCTACTAAAAATTCATGAAATGACGAGTGTTCATTGGCTATTCAGATTTGAAAAGATTACCTCACTCAAGTCCCCTATCTCTTCCGTTCGAACTTCCTTCATCCATTTATCATTCAAATGGATACTTTGGGACATTGTCTAGGAGCAGTTCTCCTCCAGGAATATGACAATAAAAAAGTAATCATCTCATATGCTAGTCGAGGTCTCTCGACTGCCGAACGAAAATATGGCCCTAGTGACGAGAAGTCTTAGGCATTGTTCGGACCACACAATATTTCTCCACCCATACGTCGAAGGTCAAAATCTGACAATTCAATCGTTTCTTAATAAAGCTTCACCATATGCAGTTATTAACAGACTTGTATATAAAACTCGAAAACCGAACTGATACCATGATCAACGCGCAGCGGGATGTAAACATCTTCGTCGCGGATATGTTTACCTTGATTTGTGAAGTTTTACAAATTAAAAACAACTTTACTGTCACTTACCACACACAAACAAACATGACTGAACGAGTTAACAGAACACTCAAACAAATGATATCTTAATATGCGGAGGGTCAACCATGTTCACCCTTACAGAGCAAAAACTAGCCTTAGCTATTCGAACATCTGTTAACTTCGTTAGAAATCCCCTACTTCCTCTTGATCTTATGAGCGTCAATACCACTAACGACGCTCCTACATCGCCTCACGATCGGCAAAGAGCGAGCAAGACCGATCGAAAACAGCTACTTCAAGATCTGGAGTACATTATACAGCCAGAGGGCACGGTCATGTGCAGAAGCTCAATCAGAAGGCCTTTTATGATCAACGCACAACTATAGTTGTGCTTTGAACTTATAAGAAAAAGTTGAAAAAAGAACAATTAGTTTGCTTTAATATACCCTATGGATGTTTAGGCGGCTCTAAACTAAGTCCTAGGTGGCAAGGTCCCTGTAGGATCCTGGAATAAGTCACTGCACATGCATTCAAAATCCTAAGACTCTCTGATCGTGTGGTTCTTGGTCTCAGCTCGGCTAAAGCCCTATGTTTCTTCGCCTCGCGGCTGACGTAATTATTTAACTCCAATATTCTCGACCTGCTGGACCCTGTTAATTCTATGATCCTAATCACATTGGTACGTATTAAACTCTTTTGTCTGCTTATTGTTTTCGTTTTAGCGCGATTTGTTTACATATATCTCTTTTATTGTTCTGTCTTCGTGGAACACTCATTTTCACTGTGGGAGGAGATGTAAAGAATAAACACCATTCCGTCCATTGGCTTTCATATGCACATTCATATCACATTGTTCATTTCTCAGTCCATCGCATTCTTTCTCTCTCTCATGACAGAGAGTAAGAATTTTAGCACTAATAACACTTTACTTCAAAGACACAATCAAAATCAGTAAATTAATTTCTCGGGATCAAGAGTATATGATGAAAAAAAATTCTCCTGATCGTAGAATGATCCATATAACTATCATATATCTATATTCCTACTCCAAAAGAAATCAAACTCAAAAAGTAGTGTTCATTTTAGCATACTTTGATTTATTAAAATAATCTTGTTCTAATTCTTTGTCACACTGTCTGTCATGATGTTTTGCAGCTGTACGATAAATTTTTGAACCAAGTAAACAGGCTACAACTGGACTCTGAAATATATCGTATCCATCTATTATCTGATATGTGGAAAAACTCTGCCTACTTACTCGAATTTGAGAACACAAACATTGGGCCATGTCAAATCGATTCATGAATATATACCATAAAAATAATTCTTCAGCCCTACCATGAACGCGGGATGCTATATTCTTCTTCAAAAGATAAACGTAGTATAAAAGGGAGTTAAAAAATACCGCATAAACTACGGTAATACTAATTCGTGTGTGACTATTAAAAAAAGAGTTAGATGTGGAAGAACGTTATTCTTCTTCCGGGGGAACCTCCCGAAGTGATACATCCCGATTTTGTTCAAACCTAGCTATTTATATGTAATTAAGGGCGCTGATTACGAATATGATAGTCGTTTGAATCGCTAGACCTTTCCTAGCATCTCTCTGAAAAACCGGTTTTCTAGAAATCCGCCGAAACACTAGCAATGTTTTTCTAACCTGTTGGAATTGTAGCCCATAAATTTTATAATAAAAATGAGACGTCCCCCAGCTCTCCACCTTTCTTTGCAAAATTAGAGAGTTTACAAGAAAAGTCCTAAATGTTCGTTGTCAGCTCAAAGTTAAAGAAAGAAAAAGAAAAATTAATTTAGGCCTTTTCTTGTCAAGTCTGTAACTTTGCAAAGAAAGGTCGTGACGAACTGGAAGACGTCTCGTTTTGATACTAAATTTATGAGCTACAATTCCAACAGGTTAGAAATACATTGCTATTGTTTCGGCGAATTTCTAGAAAATTGGTTTTTCAGGGAGATGCTGGGAAAGGTCTAGCTACCCAAACGACTGTCATATTCATAATCAGCGCCCTTAATTACATATAAATAGCCAGGTTTGAATAAAATCAGGGTGTATCACTTCGGGAGGTTCCCTCGTTAGCTTTACTTACCGACGGTTTTAAATACTGATCTATATAAATCTGTAGTGTATTTTCTCCTTCATCATCAGATGTCTTTGTATATGGCAATTGATCATTATTCTAATTGTTCACAGAAGACAAAAATAATAATTTAATAGTGAACGACACTAACAGACATCGGTTACTAACCATTGTTTTCGTTTGCACAATTTTCATCTGATATAACTGAAGAGAGGCCACCTGTGCCCCCTTTCCAGTCAGTAGTGTAAAAAAATCAACACTATTTCGACATAAAGCGTCGACTAAAGTGTACTGTAAGACAGTGTCAGCCTTGAGCAAAAAGAAATAAAAAATAAACACTTCAAAGCTTTTAGCTGAGAGGACAAATGCAATTGGATGATTTTGGAACCGTTTTCTTTCAAAATTGACTCGAAAGGAAAGAAACCGTAGAGACATTTTAGTATCACAGGCTGATAGAGAATACTGAACAGTCTTCGAAAAACTACGTTTACAAATTACCACTTACTGATTTCCGAGAATCTAGAAGCTAGAGTTCCTTTTTCACGCTACAGCGCAGAAACAAGGATAGCGTTGCTTCTGCGAAGCAAAAATGTGAAAACTTCCTATTGAACTGTGGGACCATGTAATAATATATCCTAATAATTTTTAAAACTTGTACTTAACAACATCCGATCGATAATGCACTGTCTGTTACTAGTCCATTCAGTAGCTGTAAACACCAAATTTATGTTAAGATTTGGTCAATCACAATTTCATCCCGAAAGTTTACAGCTGCCGAAAATTGTGTTTACAGCTACTTAATTGCGTGTTGACAGGTACTGACAAAAAGCCTTGTACAAGCCACCAAAATCCTCGTATATAAACTTTATACCTCAAACTTCCCTTTCCTTTGGAAAACGGACGAGTGCTGGGAAGTTTTCACAAAATTAATCGTAAGAAGACAATGAATTATTGTTTTTGGCGCATGCTGTATCGCCAAAACTCTCTTACAAAGGTTTTTGAATTTCTATCTCCAGAGAATCGGGTTTCGAGAAATCCTTTTCTCTAGTCTAAAATTTAAAAGATATAATGAAGGAAGATCTCCAACTATCGAAAAAGATTTAAAAGTTTGGGCACGAGAAAGCTAAGTTGAGAATGGACAGTTCTGTGTCCTACTTGAGTCTGAGTCAGTAAACCCTTTGTTGAGTGCTAAAAAACGTGGCTTGAAGGTTTTGATCGGTTAATAGATGATGTTTAAACAGTCTAACAATTGTTTTAGGTAAATCGTTTATGTCTCTTTTATAAAATACTTATGCATTTTAATCGAATGAACCACCAAATTTTAAATTATATGATGCCTAACAGTCATTACGGGTTAAGATCTAGTGGCACAAATAAACTGTATGCTATCAAACTCAGAAGTTGCTTTTATATCAGGTCCTTTTTTCCGGTCACAATGAAGCAGTGGAATAGCCTTGTAAGTGCGCAACTATATATGAAAGTGCGACTGATGAAGTTTCGAGGAAAATTGAAAGATTCGCTGCGTATCGATACATTCTTTACACCGACGACTGACAGTCGAAGAATTGAGTGTTTCTACTGCAGGCTCAGAGTGGACTTTTCGGCTTTACAATCAAACTTAAAAAGGCACAGAATTACACATGATAGTAGCTGTCAACAGTACACGTTTGATAGTGTGCAAAGCATTTTTCCTTCAAATGCGCATCGACAGAGGGCTAAACTCTTTAAAACTTTAGATAAAGAGGATTTCACAATTGACCTTGACACGCTTCTTTTGCGTGCGTACTAAGTTTGAGGATAAAATCGAGGGAATACACTCTATGAAGTAGAGATGGGCGAGTACACGGAATGCTGAGTACGAGTATGAGTACTGAAGATCGAGTACGAGTAGGAGTACGAGTGTTTTCTGAAAAGTAGTCAAGTAGTACCCGAGTATTTTTTTCTCTGAAGAAGCCAGTGAATCCGAAAAAATTTCCGAATAAATCGATTTTTTGATACGCAAATAATAAAAATAGGGTCACGAATTTTTTGGGAAGTACTCGAGTATGTTTTGGAAGTAGTCAAATATTTTCTGAAATACTCGTCAAAAAAAGTCCCGAGTACGTGTACTAGGAATTTTGTGCTCGAGTACGAGTATATACTCGTACTCGCCCATCTCTGCTATGAAGCAGTATACTCTTAAAATTTTGAGACTGGAAAATTCAGTTAGACTAAGTACATCAAACTCTTCTTTCATTACTCTGTTATACTATGTTGATGCACCCTTATTCTTGATAGTATGACCCTCTCTCTCCAATCTTAAAATTTTTTTTTATTAAAAACATTTTTGAGATCAAACTGTTCACACATACAAAGTCAAACTACTATCTACATCTTATGACTATAATCATATTCCTTCTTACTATACTACACTTCTCGTTCATTGTTTGTTGCTACCATCTTTTTCTTTCTGTTTGCTGTTGTTTCTTTCTTGTCTCGTTTTTTTTCCAGTTAGATAGTTATGTAAAAGATAAGATATAACCTTGTTGTGGCTTCATTTACATTTACTATTCGTTTTCGTTCACTTTCGATAAAAAAATTAAACTAACTACAAACTAGTATAGTCGCCGACTGTGCATTAAGTCGAAAAGAATACCTCCTTTAAGCGTCTTCGTGAGCTACGATTTCCAGAGTAGTTATCTAGCGACGAAATGAGACTGAGAAAAATAAAGTTTTAGAAAAACACAGAAGATAAAATCCTTAAATCAAAACACCATAGCTATTCGTAGTTCCAGGACAGAAAAAAGTTAATTTACGACAAAGAGAACGGAAAATGACAGAGCTTTTCTCACAAAGTTTGAATGGTTGGAGCTAGAGCCAGGGTATTTGTAGCAGATACAAGATAGAGGTCGCTGATTATAACCGCAAAATTTGGAGAAGTGGGATTCTGTAAGTGTGAGGGTGAGGAAGACCGTGTGATGCAGCAAAACAGCAGCAAATTCATCAAAATTAGTGTGATATACATACCACATAACATTGAGTTAACGTGAATTCTTCTTCTTCATCATTTAGAATATGTTTTCTTGCATATTCGACTTTATTCCAAATCTTTGAAGAACACCATTTGTGATTATGTATATATATTTCGATGCTGTTCATAATTACTCTAATCTTACCATCGCCCATTGTATTTCTTCCACCTTTGTTAAATCAAATTTTTTTTCATCTAACTGAGCGATTGCTTGTTTTTGTTTTTTTAGTATACTCTGTAACAAAGCATCGGCAATAGCATCTTCCAGATTATGTGCTTTGTTCGCATCAAATATAACAATTAAATTTTTATTTTTACGTAAAATTTCAATATTATCTTCAAGTATTTTATTAGCTTCCTGTGTATCTGCTCCGATCTGTCCATTAAAAGTGGGACTCAACGATTTCAAATCTTCGATTATCTTTTTATAATTTTCGCCATGAACATTTTTCATATTATCGTCTTGAAGTTTTTCATACAAATTGAAGGATTTAATTACTTTTGTTAAGACTTTAGCCAGACCTTGGGTATGCTGTAACCGCAACAAGAGTATTATAACTTCTGAAACGACGGACAAAAGGAAAAACGTACTTTAACAATAATAACAGGTGTGCCGACGTTCACTGCCGCGCATAAAGCCACGAATGACCAATAATCACCTCCAATTAATATCATTACAATTGGTATATTAGTATAATAAGCTGAAAAACACAACAACAGCAGCACTTCGATGCATGTCATTCACCCTAGGTGACTAACAGTTAACTGCTACCTCTCCTCGGAACGTGCGGACGTAGACTTGTGCTAAATAATTGCTCAATTTGTGTACGTGCTTCTATAACGTTTTTTCGATCTGATGTGTTATCATCAAATAACAGAAAATGTGTATGATTTGGTTCTAAATCACAGTTACCAAACAATGTTTTGTCTAAATTATCACGATTTTCTTTTCTTGGATATTGCTTAATATAATTTTCAATGCGAATGGATGATAACGGCGACTGGACGGATGTTTCCTTAAAAAACAACAAAAATACGTTTTCGAGATATGAACAAAGTAAAAGTTTGCTGAGACATCGAACTTTCACTCTAATTTCTTATACAGTACTGGCCAAAATTAGAGGTTCACTTTTATTTTTAATTTTTCTCCTTCACATAATAGCTAGAAAAAAATGTGAAAAAAGATTTGAACAGCATATACAAATTCCATTAAAATTCCTGTTTGTATGAATATCTACGCATAGGTATACATCGTCCAAAGTGAAATTCAGTCCAACGTAATATTGGTCTAGGCCAAAGAAAAATTCCACTTTGCACTATAGTTCAAAGTGGCGTGTTTTTAAAACTGCTTTTAGCGTTTTCTTTCTTCTTTTAGCGTTCGTTATCTTCTTGAAAGAAAATAGAATGTACCCGTTCGATATCATGTGTTTTTGAGTTTAAGAATGGAGTATGCATTTTTCGACTAAAATATCGACTGATGCTCCTTTTGACCAGAAGGTTTAAATGAATGTGAACAATGTTCTCGTATTTCGATGTTGGAGTAAATACATTTTCTTTTACTATTTTCTATCTTAGGTGTTAGTTAGTTTCTGTCGACAAAAATAGACACTTGCCATTCACATATATCGCAGAAAACATGGCTCTTTAAAATAACTCTCAATACGAATTTGTGGGATCGATTTTGCTAGTTTTCTGACACGGTACATCCCGAGTTGTTTTAGCACGGAAGAAAGAAATTGTTTTTTTTGTTGGATTCATGGCAATCGCAGAGACGGCCGTGATAAACATTTTGAGATTTTTGAGAAAACAATGTTATACTTTACCATGGAGAGCGTTGTTGTAACAGCTAGTGGGATATCGGCAAGTAAATCATTATCTAAATACATATAGAGCAAATGTAAAAAATTTGCTGAAGCAGAATCAGAAAGTCTAAAGAGTCCAAGCCGTTGTGAGTTTGCCAAACAGATTACAAGACTAGAGCTTTCTTTACATTACCTGCAGTGTATCCCCAACTGCAAAAACCAATACAAGGCAAATCAACACCATAAGTATCATTGGTCAGTGCTTCACCAACCCACTGAACGGGAGCCAGATTTAGCCCTGCAGTTGTTACCCAAGCGTCTACAGAAGGCAACCGAAAAATTCCGTCAGGTTGAAATATAAGTTTAACTTTGTTTTGATTGCTTATACTTGCTATTCTTGCCGCAGCAGCCAATCCTGTCTTCAATGCCTGTATAACTTTTTCATGTATGTTATCATCCGCTTTTCGTTCGTAATCAGTATCACCTGTTGTATTGACCGATATAATTACATCTGGAATGGGCAGATTATATCCGTCTTGCGCGAAAAGGGATAAGACATATTCGGGTGGTGTTTTAAGTGCCAAATGAATATACTAGAAAGGAAGCAAGTCCTTTAAACACGCTACAACAAAGTATTTCTTTCCTGTACCGGACATAATCGATTGCTTTTGTTTGATTCATGAATAAACTGAATAAAGCCAAACTGGTTAGTGATCTGACTAGAAAAAAATGTGTGAAGCAGCTTCTATCCTTTTCATAAAGCGATTGAGTCTCTCAGTTTTTTAGTAAGGAAGAAGGCAGGCAGAGAGTTGTGATTTTCAGCAATAAAATATGTAATATTCAAATTTGAACTATCACCTAGAGATGGGCGAGTCGCCACTTTTTCGAGTCTGAGTCCAATCCAAGTCAGGAGATTTCAAGTCCCGGTCCGGGTCCGAGGCGCATCAAAAATTGACTCGAGGTAAACTTCCTCTTGATTCATTTCTCCAAGAAAAGCTTGCAGCTCTCTTTCTACTTAGAATATTCTCAAATCCGTCTCTGTCTTCCTGTGTATAGCAAATATAATAAGTACCATCATAATACTCCAAAATTGCACATGACTGACTCGAAAGTGACTTGAGTCAGTTTATTAAGTTTATCGAGTCTTTTCACCTTGAGTCCGAGTTCGAGTCATAGAAAAATGCGACTGGAGTCGCCCATCTCTGCCACCACCCGTATTGTTTCGCTTGAGCAGTTTGCATAGGTCTAAGTGCTATAGGCAGCTATTCAAATGATAACTTTGAAGGTTGACGCGGAAACAAGTTCCATGTGAACAACTATTTGGGAAGGATCAGTCAGTCGAAAGATACGCTCCTGAGCGAAGAACGTTTATTCATGTAATAATATTCTAATCGACGCGGAAACAAATTAATGTTCTTCTACTAGGTGTCGGAGATTGTTGATTGTAAAAGGCAACACAAACACGCTCAAATACATCATAAGTAGTCCTGAAACGAGTTTTCTCTTCTTCTTTCTTACTTCATTCTTAAAAGAAAACCTTAAATCAGTTCAACTGTATATGAAAAGGTGACAACCGTCAGTTATAGCCAGTTCACCCGTAAATGTCTATTTTTGCTGCTGGAAACTGCAAGTCTTTATGTGGCTACCTTCAAATGTTTATTGAAAAAATAGTCATGAACTATTCATTTTTGGAATAGTTAAGGCTTACTCGTTGTCATCGGAGAGTCGAATTTCAGATCCACGTTTTGTAACGAGCTGAAAGCAAAAACAAAATGGCTTCACGCCAAACATTCGAGTTTTCTCCTAAATTCAATGAAAAAAACATAAGGCTTCGTACTTACATTTTTAAGTTTTGCAATCGTATGTTGTATTTTGTGGTTCATGGTGACCGAATTTAATAGGCGTTCTACACGAGAAAATTGGTTACGGCTAATTCTATAATTCCTGAAGCAATGTCATTTGTTTTTCGATCTTGAAAAGTGGTCTAAACAAATGTTTTTGCTTTTAACTGATTCAAAATTTTTTTCCCATTACGTCTCTAAATAGGACTTGTTCTCTGAAAAAAAATAGGAATAATACAAAATCTTAAACGCACCTGCAGAAGGTGCAGAACCATTTAAGATTCTCTGATCAAACGACTGAGTCATCAGGAGTTCTGTAGAAAAAGGGTTCCGTATGAAACTTTTTTCAAAATGTCGGTCAAATGATTCGGTATCCAATCATTTTCCTTATATATTTAGGCGTTCTGCAGTAAGAATGGTTTCGTACAGAACCATTTTTGACTGACAGAACCCTCATCAAAATCGATGCTGCCCATGTACTAGAGGTCCATAAATATCATACTCTCGATAACCTCAAGAAAATTTTAATATTAGCTTTCTGCGATGGTTCTCTGAGAAGTTTTATTCGATCTTTTCTCATCCACTAAAATGAAATTCATTTTATTTTATTCCGGCTAACTTTCTTTTAACAAGAAGAGCTAACAACTGGATTGACTTAATAGTTAGTGTGACAGCCTGCTATTGTACAGGACGTGCGTTCGATTCGCAGATCTGGGATACTTCTTTTTTTGGAAAAGAAATCGATTTCTTGTGAACGAAGAAATATGGAGACCAAATCTAGATAGATATCTTTTTTTCTTCAGTTTGTTCCTTCGTCGAGTGAATGGTCAGCTGGTTTTAACGAAACTGACCGTTCAATACAAAATCCTTATGTGCGATTCGTTGATGCAGCGCTATATTTCGTTGGTCAAGTTCGCTGGTTCGCTGGTCAAGGTCCAAATGTTAAAAATGAAATCGATGATGCACTGTAGCGACGGCTAGTTCGTGTACACATGTACGTCTCTTTCCATCTGTGTCTGCTGCATACTCTCTCAACCTCGTACAAAGTGGTCGAAATCCTGTGGGACTACCCAAATACCCATTTCTGACTGGGTTTGACTGGAACATTTTTGACAGCTTTTCAAATAGGGTCGCACTTTACATTTACTACTATCCGTTTCAAAATACAAGAGCAGTGGCTATTTTTTGAATAACTTTTGACAGAAAGCAGCTAGAGAGCTTCGGTTTTCACCACGCAAAAGAGAAGACTTGGAGACATGTTTCCACAAACAGCATTATTTCCACGAGAGTTTTCTGAAACTTCAGTATGTAAAGCATTTAGGCTATTTTGTATCCTATTTAGGAGATCTAGAAAGAGATTTTATAGAACTCTAATGCTTTCCAAAAAGGGTTTCTGGAAAAGCCATTAATAAAAATATGATTTTTCAGTTTTTTCGATCTTATAATCAGGTTTAGCGGACAAAATTAACTATATCTTGAAGTTTTGAACTCGTTCTGATGTATTTTGAGTGAACAGTGAATTTTTTAATATTAGGTGAAAGCAGTCTGAAAACCCTAGTTTTCGTAAAACTCCCTTTTCGATAGATTTTTAAACTTTTTCTAAAAGCAAATATTGCCACGAGACTCAGCATGCTCGATTATCTATAGTCCATTGGCTGTCAAGACTACGAAGAGTCATTAGGTAACTGTCCTGGGACTCGTAGGAAATCCGGTAGGCCAGTACCCTAGAAAATCTAGATCTTGCTTGACTCCCATTTTCACGAGCACATCCCGGACTATCAGTCCATGAAAAAGATCAACATTATCGTATCGGAAAATTTTTATAAACGATCTGGTTTTCCAAAGATCTCCTAAACAGCCTGTTTCAGAAAACTCTCGTGGAAATAATGCTGTTTGTGAAAACATGTCTCCAAGTCTTCTCTTTTGCGAGATGAAAACCGAAGCTCTCTAGCTGCTTTCTATCAAAAGTTATTCAAAAAATAGCCACTGCTCTTGTATTTTGAAATGGATAGTAGTAACGAGTAACTAGTAGCTATGTAACTATTTTTTTAACTTTCTGGAGAGTAACGAAGTAACAAAATTAGTTAATCGTTACTGGTAACCAAGCAACTGAAAACTTACCTCTTTACAAGTATCGAATAAGTAAGTTCTACTACTTTAACTGGTAAGGTAACGCCGAGTAACTAGTAAAGTGTCGCCCCTTGTGATGACTTATATTTCCTATAATTATAAGTCCTTGAGAGTTTATCGTATGTGTACACTATGATACGTGTTGTATGTATATTATACTTTATTCGACCACTCTTTTCAAAAAAATATACAATCTGCTTCACTAAAAGACTATTCGATTCCATATACCTTGTATTGCAAGCCAAAAGATAAGAACACAACGAAAAAGAAAAAAAAAAGGACAATAAAACAACAAAGCTACCGAAAATGAGAGGACAGAGCGTAACAAAGTAAACTACATGTCTACGGAGATAAACTGTACATATTGGAAGTAAAGGTTGTGACCAATAATCGTCACAGCCCTATTTTCAAACAAATATATACGTGAAATGTTTTGCTCGTTATAAAACAGTATAAAAGAAAGAAATATCGAGTATACTGCGAGTTTTGCGAATATTTCAGCGTAGAAACAACATAGATTATTGCATTTGTTTTCAAAAGATGCGCAATTTAATTTTCAACAAAATCGCTATGACTATATATTTACAAAAGTAAAATTCTCACTTTCTAGGGGTCAGACACTTCGACCGAATTAAGTTCAACTACTTCTCACCCAATTTTTCAATTGTTTATGTTTAGAATTGAACCCTGGATTAAATGAATCCTGGACTAATAAAATACTACTAGCCGATATATGGTCCTTAAAAATGTCTATCGACTACATATACTTAACTTCCAATTTGTTGAACAACTTTTTTTTCTAAAAGTCACATTTCGAAAAATACCTCGATGTTTTCCTCTCGGCTGCTCTGTTCGGAAAAAAGATTACAGAAACGACTGATTTTCATTGTGTTTTAATGTCAATATCAATACAGATAGTTATACAAGACATCAGGTCACAGCTGATTCAGCATATATGTACCTCTCCAGTACTTACAGGGTTCCGTGTTACTATTTGAACTGTCTGTCACTGAACACCCTTTAAATCAAGAGTTGTTCGTGACCAAGTCACTATCATATCCGTCTGAAAATAAATGTTTTCAGTCGATTTTTTAAATTTATTATATATATAGAAATATATTTTTCGCAAAGTAACTAAATATCCTGATAGCGTTTGATTCTCTATTAGTCGCTGCTTTCCCAGCCTGGATTCGAAATTATTTGCTGGCAAAAATTTTGAATATTGTTAATGCTCCCACTTCGCGCACATTACCAGGAATTGTAACGGGTGCGACCTCGCAGCATTTTCTATTTTTCTCGTGTTTCTTTAGGAACCAAAGGTTAATGTATTTCTTAAAAACATGCGCCGCGGATATACTCTACAAAACTATACCTAAACTATAATTTTAGAACGTCAATCAGAAAAACTACGTAGATTATACGAAAGATGAAAACTTTGAAAATCTGGTATTTTTTTCCACTCGAATCTTTTTCTTCTGCTATTATTTCTGTAAAGAAAAGGGTTCTAAAAGTGAGAACTCAGTTGTTTTCGTACTTGTGAATGTTCTCGTGGTCTGTAAACAAAAGAAGAGTTTGTTGAAGAGCATGGAATGCAGTCTACCCAAGCAAAAACGGCCCAATTTTGTGAGTTATTTTGTGAAAAGTATCAAAGCAATGAAAAGTATGAAAGCGAGTTGAAAAGCATGAAAGTCACCAAAAGCATGAAAAGCAGTAAAGACTGAAATGGATGAAAAGTTGAAAAGCATGAAAGGCATGAAAAGTATGAAAGCGCTGAAAAGTAATAAAACGGTTGAAAAGTACAAAAAAGTTGAAAAATATGCAAGCGATGAAAAATATGAAAGCGACGAAAAGCATGAAAAGTTGAAAGGGACAAAGCTACGGCAAGTAGATAAACATACTGACGTTGGATGCCTAAATACGTCTCGGGTGTCAGGATCAGCCCACTTTACTTACACTTACACTATAACAATATATTCATGCAGTACAGTTCATCTTACACATTTTTGGTGTATTCTAACAGCTCTGTACTTGGGTACATTAACAATATCTGAAATATTTTTCAGCAAATAAGTGTAAGTCAAGATATAAATATACAGGGTGAAAGAGGATTAGTTCATCAGAATGAGTTCAGTCCTTTGAGATATGATTAATTTTCTCCGCTAAACATGATCGTAAGAATGAAAACATTGAAAAAGCATATTTGTATTAATGGGTTTTCCAGGAATCCTTTTAGAAAACCTTGGAGTTTTGTAAACGAATTTTTGAGATCT